AAGCAGGAGAACCCAGTCATGGCTGTCAGACAATTTCTATGACCGCATTACCCCTTACATCTGGCCGCCAAACTCCCCAAAATTGCGCCCCACTTGATTATTATGTGTGGGGCACAGTTAAGCCAGAGAGCAACAAAACTTCTTGTAACACCAAAGATGAACTAAAGGCAAGGATTATGGCAGCATTCACCTATTTAAACAAGTAGACCGTCCAGGAGAGTTGCAAGAGATTCCGAAGTTTCCTGGAGGATGTGGTTGAAACGAATGACGATTTTATTGAATAAATTTACTCTTTTGTATTTCAAGATATTTTTGCGTAATTTTCGTAGATATATCTGTTAAAATGAGATGTCAGTGTTATTTTCATTTTTGCGTAATTTAGATGACAATTTATCCATCGCACCCTGTGCATACAATTACTGGTATTCTGCGACGTCTGGGTAAACATTAAAAACTAGTGGTTAATATTAATAAATAAAACGAACGTTATAAAGTGTGAATTTCAGATGGAGATTCAATTCAAAGCTACATGCCAAATCGCATCCATGTTGATGCATCATCGTATCATATATTCATCAAATTTGAAGACTTTGCCCTCTTTAAGGTCAGACTTAAAATTAATATCAGCAACCTTTTAACCATCGCTCTAACCACTTGGCTTTGACGTGAGTATAATATTGAAACACCTTGGCGATAAAACTGTCTGCTTTGACATTTAAATACGGAAGCTTGTCTTTTACTGATATGCCGCTGACAGTTTCTTCTCGTGAAATAAGCAAATTATAGCCGATAGTGAACTCCATGCCCCATTTTTTATTCCTTTACAAGGAAATAAAGTGCAATCTTAATTAAAATTTTCCAGTCTGTTTTTTACACGTTCAGGTTTAGGTTAACCAAAAGAAAAAAAAAACGTTACTTTCATATCTGAATTTATATCTTTAACGCTCCATTAGTAATCAGGGGCATTGTCACAGAATTAGTACATCGTGGTTTTCAAACACACCATTTAAAATATACACAGATATATCATTAGTATAGGAAATCAGGAAATTGAAAATAGAATAGGGTATGCTAGGGGTAGTTTTTTCCCAACGCCACCAATTGCTGCAAGATCAAAATATTCGACTAAAATATTCTAGTCCTGTTCTTATCAGGTCGAGATTTTCATATGGATGGCACCAAATTCGTTCAGGAAAATAAATTTGTCAGCTTGAGAGCTGCACTTTCGTATTTCTGAACCATTCCATTTTCTTGACAAATATATATATATATATATATATATATATATATATATATATATATATATATATATATATATATAATATAATGGACTATCCGGTCCGTTTCGACGTATGAAGGTCTGACAACTTAACCAATTGATTCAGTTATGAATTTTGTGCAATAATGTTAGGTGGCACTTAAGACCCGCTAGTGATTTGCAAAAAAGGCCGCTTATGGAGCAAAAGTGAGGATTGTGGATAAGGTCACTGTTAGATTGGCTGACCTTTTAGATCTTGCTCTCCTTTCTTGAATACGATTCAGACCAGCAGATTGAAAACTCCCGAATCCACTAGAACACGTTGATCTCCATTCTAACCGCTCCAAGGCTAAGCGCTCTGTAAACCCGAATTTTCGTATTCACTAAGCAATTCTATATAATTACAAGAAATAACGTACTGAGTTTAATTTTAACAGATCCCCAAATGGGGCTCATATCAGGTAATGGGTTAAGAGTTGCTTATTATATATATATATATATATATATATATATATGTGTGTGTGTGTGTGTGTGTGTTCTTAAAATTAATCTGTACTAAAAGACAATATGTATAAATGAAAAAGACGATAGCAAAACTGTGTGTAGATTTAGCCAACGCGTTTCGTCCCGTGTGTACTTTTCAATGCAAAAAACCAAAATGAATTAATTGAAACAAATTTTTGTATTTTTTTTTTTATTTAGAGATGCTTTGTTTGAATAGATTCATTTCGTTTTTGCCTTGGAAAAAGTCCAGCATATCCTCTTCCTCTCCCTCCAGCTATGGGTAAAATAGCAGGACAGAAGGGGTTCTATAGCCTTGGATGCAACTGGTCTAGGAGAAGGACAACTCTAAATTCAAAAACCTGCGGAGGGTCGTTTGGGAACCTTGTGGCATTCAGGTCTCTGTATTCGTCCCTTCAAAAAGTGTGGATGGTCCTGCACGAGGCCTTCATCCTTATAATCAAATCTCATGTGCCGGTGTCGGGCTGTCGGTTTCCTGGAAATTGATCTGCTTGACCATCGTACGTCGAATCTCGACGGGAGAGTCGATTATTATATATATATATATATATATATATATATATATATATATATATATATATATATATATATTTACTTGGTCATTAGTATGGATAATTCCAAAGAGGATGTAAATCCAAAGAGAGTTCAATGTAAGAAAAGAGTAAATATAATAATGAAAGCGGAGTCTTTAGATTCTCTACACGGCTCTCATTAGCCTCAAGTGCCTGTCCCGGAGCATTGTTCTAAATTTATTTTCAATGTCAGTCCTCCTTTGATAGATGCCTTGTTAATGAGAGTGAGTTTGTGTTAGTGATTGGTGAGTGCGTAAGGTATCTTATCCCGGGAGAAGCGGTCTGGGTTTGGAGCTTATTTATGGCCAGGCCTGTTGTTTGTAGATTAATATCAGCCCCTACTATGTGGTGTTTCTTATAACGGCCCCTGAGCGTGTTTTTCTAGGATTCACAGTAAAATAGTTTTTGTACTACAGTGTCCAATATTATTTATAAACGATGGGAGACTTAAATTTAAAGCCCGTTAAGATTGTGATGCCGTATACAGAACGGCTTGAAAGAAATACATACGCTCTGTTAAAATAAAAAACATCTAGCTCTCTATGGATCAGTTTTAATAATTAATATTACTAGGATCAACCCGGATTATATACCAACGGATCGATTACCTATACTATATATATATATATATATATATATATATATATATATATATATATATATATATATATATATACAAGTGTTGTCTATTTATTTTATGTAAACACTTGTCTATATTATTTAATGAAATGTGTATAATTGAAAGATGCTGCCTAAATACACACACACACACATATATATATATATATATATATATATATATATATATATATATATATATATATATATATAAAGACATTTTATTATGTTTAACGTTGTTATTTTATAGATACAAGTATTTAAGCAAATGCTCTGTTTATGATAAACAGTATTAAATAACATTTACCGGCCTGAATGTCCGAGAAATTTTCATAGAAAATATTCGTTCTTTGACATGATTCTCGGACATTCAGGCCGGTAAATGTTATTTAATACTGTTTATCATAAACAAAGCATTTGCTTAAATACTTGTATCTATAAAATAACAACGTTAAACATAATAAAATGTCTTTAATAAATAAATTGTCGGACCTTGTCCATTTCTTAATATATATATATATATATATATATATATAATCGTTTTCAATGTGTATCTGGCGTAAAAACATTTGAAATCTATTTTCATGGTAAAATACGTTAAAATGAATTTCTATAGTAAAATAATTTTCAATTAATTTCTATAGTAGAATTATTTGCAGTGCATTTCTATAACAAACATATTTACAATGAATTTCTCTCGGAAAAGAGTTAATAATGTATCCCAGTATAAAAATCCTTTCCAATTATTTCTGTGCGAAAATCACGTTCCAATGGATTCCTATAATAAAATCATTTCCAATGAAATTCTAATAGTAAAAGCATTTTCAATACATTACTATAATAAAATCATTTCCAATGAATTCCTTATAGTAAAAAAAAGTCCAACGCATTCCTACATAATCACGTTACAATGGATTCATATAATAAAATCATTTACAATGGATTCCTAATAGTAAAATCATTTACAATGGATTCCTTTAAGTAAAGTCATGTTACAGTGGATTCCCATAATAAAATCATTTATAATGGATTCCTAATAGTGAAATCATTTACAATGGATCCCTAATAATAAAATCACTTACAATGGATTCTTTATAGTAAAATCATTTACAATGGATTCCTTTAAGTAAAATCATGTTCCAGTGGATTCCCATAATAAAATCATTTATAATGGATTCCTAATAGTAAAATCATTTACAATGGATTCCTAATAGTAAAATCATGTTCCAGTGGATTCCTATAATAAAATCATTTCCAATGCATTCCTAATAGTAAAATCATTTACAATGGATTCTTTATAGTAAAATCATTTACAATTGTTTCCTTTAAGTATAATCATGTTCCAGTGGATGCCTATAATAAAATCATTTCCAATGCATTCCTAATAGTAAAATCATTTATAATTTATTCCTAATAGTAAAATCATTTCCAATGCATTCCTAATAATAAAATCATTTCCAATGCATTCCTAATAGTAAAATCATTTACAATTGATTCCTTTAAGTAAAATCATGTTCCAGTGGATTCCTATAATAAAATCATTTCCTATCATTTAGATTCTTTTTTCTTTTTGCTTCCATCACTTTTGTTATTAGACATGCCACACTGTGATAATAGAAGATCTGTCAGGAATGGTGAAATGTTGTAAGAACCAGGGCGAAAATTTACACCTTGAGATCAAGCCACGAAAATGTTTATAATGTGCCTTGATTGCCTTCATCCGCTGAAAAAGAATTACCATCATTTTGGCCTACTGAGTCATTGTCTAAATGAAACTCACTTGTGGTCTCTCCGCCACGTAACGAATCTTCTTACAATTACAATATGACAATTGACTGGAGTCATTTTCATTTTCGTCAGCCATTATAAATCAACGGAATTTCACGAATATTAAATCTTAATTAACAAAATACAAGCTTTTAATAGGCACGTAAAAAATGTCAATGTACGAAAAATAAAAAGTAAATAAATGACCTACCATAAAAGCTCCCACGTGTACACTAAATTACTTTGTACTTTGTTATTGTTGACTATATAAAAGGAAGAAAAAGGAAGAAAGTGAAAGAAAAAGAAAGAAAAAAATAAGAAAAAGTAAGAAAAAGAAAGAAAAAGAAAGAAAAAGACAGAAAATGAAAGAAAAAGTAAGAGAAAGTAAGAAAATGAAAGAAAAAGGAAGAAAATGAAAGAAAAAGAAAGAAAAAGAAAGAAAAAATAAGAAAAAGTAAGAAAAAGAAAGAAAAAGACAGAAAATGAAAGAAAAAGTAAGAGAAAGTAAGAAAATGAAAGAAAAAGGAAGAAAATGAAAGAAAAAGAAAGAAAAAGAAAGAAAAAATAAGAAAAAGTAAGAAAAAGAAAGAAAAAGACAGAAAATGAAAGAAAAAGCAAGAGAAAGTAAGAAAATGAAAGAAAAAGGAAGAAAATGAAAGAAAAAGAAAGAAAAAGACAGAAAATGAAAGAAAAAGTAAGAAAAAGAAAGAAAAAGACAGAAAATGAAAGAAAAAGTAAGAGAAAGTAAGAAAATGAAAGAAAAAGGAAGAAAATGACAGAAAAAGAAAGAAAAAGAAAGAAAAAATAAGAAAAAGTAAGAAAAAGAAAGAAAAAGACAGAAAATTAAAGAAAAAGTAAGAAAATGACAGAAAAAGAAAGAAGAAGTAAGAAAAAGAAAGAAAAAGAAAGAAAAACCAACGAAATGCACGACGTAGACGAATATTTTCGTTTCTTACCCAAAATTCATCATGGAGACACGAGAATTTACGCCATCTTGTTTTTGTACTGAAAATGTATCTGAACGAATTTCCAAACACTAAGAAAATTATGTTAGATTAATCTGTATAATCTGTTAAGGGATTAAGCAAAGTTGGATTATAACACTAGAAATTACCTGTTTATTACCAATTGGTTATCATAGATTTTAGAAGTACCAGTTTTGATGTTTAAATCAGTTATTATTACACTGTGAAACGGAAAACAAAGGTTTTTAATCATGCCTCCATACAGTAGGAAAATTAAAACGAGAATAATCGGTAAAATCCGTTAAGGCGCTAAAAAGACCTGGTTTATGACACCAGTAATTCCTCGTTTAATACACCGTGGATATCACAAATTTTACAAATACAGCTTTGGTGTTTAAAATCAGTTTCCTTTTCAACTGTGAAATTTAGTGACAATAGACACCATCGACTGAGAGCTTACCAAAAAATATCAAAAGTTATATGCCTTTCTATTCCAACTAATATCCTCATCTTGGTTGCTAACGTTTCGGTGGTGTACCATCCTGCCTTCATCTGGAGTCTGTCTTCGTACCCTGCAACCTCGTCACGATTTTAAAACGAAACATTTATGCAGTTCACTACTATACTTTCATTATACACACACACACACATATATATATATATATATATATATATATATATATATATATATATATATATATATATATAGTTTATGCAAAACTAGGTAATCCGCATGGGTAGACCCAAGGAGGATGATATCCGGAGAGCTCAATGTAAAATTCAGAGCAGATATGTTTGAATAAAAAGACAGACCACTTTAAGGTTCCATGTAATAAGTTTCACCATAACCCCTTTAACAGGGCTCTGGATCATCAGACTTTACTTCCAAAGGTTGAAATGAAAATGATGATCCAGAGCCCTGTTAAAGGGGTTATGGTGAAATAACTTATTACATGGAACCTTAAAGTGGTCTGTCTTTATTCAAACAAATATATATACATATATATATATATGTATATATATATATATATATATTCTACTGTTTAGCGTATGGGCGGGACCTACTTTCGCCGAATGCATCACATTCACTGAGGTAAGACCCCTAAAACCGGTATCACCTATCGAGTGAATGCTTACTGATTAACATATAAAACCCGACCAATGTTTACCTATAGACTTAGGTATAACCACAATCAATGTTTACCTTTAAATTCAAGTATAAATCCGACCAATGTTTACCTCTAGAATCAAGTTTAAACTCGATCAATGTTTACCTATAGACTCAAATATAATTCTAACCAATGTTTACGATATACTCAAGTATAAACCCGAGCAATATTTACCTATAGACCCAAGTATAAGCCAAAACAATGTTTATCTATAGTCTCAAGTATAAAGTGGTCAATGTTTACCTATAGGCTCAAGTATAAACCGACTAATGCATACCTATAGACTCAAGTATTAAATAACCCAATAAATGTTGAAATGTTATAAAATCCACGCACCTAATTCAACTGTATAACTGTACCTTTTGTTTCAGACGCTACAATGGTGCTTGTAATGACAATTTTGTGGCATTATTTTTAATTGAATTTCAGAACCAATGAAGGTAATCGCAGGATATGAAACAATATTTGACTCTATTCCCACAAAATGGTTTAGGAATTTTAAGGAACGTATCTTGAAACAAAGGCCAAAAGTGGACGACAATCAGTTGTCGATTCTGTTGATTTCAAATGCCATGTAGAGAACCCAAACGCCAAAAGTACTCGAAATTTTTCAGAAGAAATATGGTCAAGGAAAGATAGCGTCTGTAGAGCATTTAAACACGCAGAAGCTTAAAACATCGAAAAACATCGAAAATACTTTTGATACACTCCAATGTTAAATGGTATAACCACAGAACTTGCCTTTAATGTATGCTTTGGGCATCAAATTTTCCAAGCCCTCAGTCCTCATTATCTGTCCTAGAAATTTCAACTATCTCTCCCTGATGCCAAGTTTGAGCGTCCATTTTGTTTCCATTTTATATAAAATTTTGTCGTTGCCCATATGTTTGGTCTATGATAATGTCAGCAACATTCTGTAAAATCACATTTCTGTTGCTTCAAGTTTCTTCTTCATCTGTGAGGAGATTGTCCAGCATTTACTGCCATATAGGAGGACTGATATTACGTAACAGTTCAGTACTCTTTTCCTTGTTTCTCTTGCTTCAAGTCTCTTCTTCATCTGTGAGGAGATTGTCCAGCATTCACTGCCATATTGGAGGACTGATATTACGTAACAGTTCAGTAATCTTTTCGTTGTTTCTGTTGCTTCAAGTCACTTTATCTGTGAGATTATCCAGAATTTACTGCCATAGAGGAGGACTGATATTACGAAAAAGATGGGGTAAAAGGTTGCTTGATTTCTCTCTAGTAAACGACAAGTGATGCGACAGAACGTTTGGTTGGTAAGATATAACAGAACCGTAATCATCATGGAAAGTGTTGAGAAATGCCTTTGTCCAGTAATTGCAGGTTTTATTTATCTTTCCTCCTTAGCGCTTAGACTGCAAGGATTTAAGCATTCTACTAGATTGGCAGTTAGGTCTCACCGTTTTACTGTTGAAGTAGCTAGATGCAACCACCAGTTTTATTCTCATAGTTTCTTTTTTCGCACTTCTCGCCTGTGAAACTCCCTTCCGATTTCTTGCTTCCCTGAAACCTACAATCTTCAAAAATTTAAATGTAACGTCAATCGCCATCTCGTATCTTTCTGAAACCTGTTCTTTTATTATCCTTTCTCTTCACTTCTCAGTAAAGCCTTTTCCTTCTCTTTCGCTCCCTGTAACCCCCTGCGTCTTAGTGGCATTATCGCCTTGCCTGGGGCGAAAAGATTAAGAAAAAATCTTTCCACTGCCATTCTACAAGATACCATCTTATGAAAGAAGAAAATTCAAATGGCGGGGAAAATTGTTTAGCAACGTACACTGAGTGGACTGGAAGATAATTCACAGAGACTTAGAAATTGGTACGCAGATACATATGGAGGGAGCAAGTCAGAAGATCAGTTACCCTAAAACCACACCCGTTCCAGAGACAGAAGACGAAGATTGACACACATATTCCAAATCGTTTGGTGAAAAACCTGGATTAAATTTTCTTCAGAGATAGCATGAGAATTAATGGTAAAAAATTCAAAGCCATAACGAGCAATAAAAAAAAGAGATTTCAATCAAGATAACAGCCGATATTCAGGAACTTTGTGAGCCATTTAAAATATTCTGGCTCGATTATCAGTTTAGGGGAGGGGCTCCAAAATAGACAATTTCAAGAGCAGTACAAATAATACTAGCTGTCGTAAAATCAAGAACCATCTGCAAAGACAAGAACATCAGCCTGAAATCAAAAATCAAACTATTGCGTGTGCATCGGCCTTCTCACTGTCTCTGTACGTCTGCGAATTTTGGATATTAACAGCAGAATTGCAGCGAAGAACCCAAGCATTAGAAATAAGATGCTACAGATCCATCCAAGACATCGTCTATGTAGACCGTAGACTGCATCACAAACGTGGCAGGCCAGAAACACCGTCAGACAAGAAGCGGGTCCGTTAGAGGACCTCATGTCCACCAAGAAGAGGAAGATTAAATGGGATGGACACGTCATACAGAGAAAAACAATACTTCCGCTGTCGTCATGTAAGTTACCATCTTTGTTTTTTGGGTTTTTTTTAAAGAGGCAGATAGAGAGAAAAAAGGTTGACAACGTTACTCAGTGGCACACAGCGGAGACTTATGGAAGGAGCTGGTCAGGTGCTCAGTTGCATAGCAACCTTACGACCACTCCGGGTCATGCGACAGGTGATGATGATGATGATGATGATGATGATGATGATGATTTGGGAAAAGAGATGATGATGATGATGATGATGATGATGATGATGATGATGATGATGATGATGATGATGATGATTGATGAAAATCTAAACATGTCTTTTTTTTTTATTTTAATTATAGCTAAAAATTGAAGCAAACAAGAAAAATACAATTTTGTTCAAAACCCAACAATTGAGACATGAAACGTGGATTACTGCTTTTTTAATCTTTTTTTTTAACCATCTCACTCCAAGCAAGGCAATAAAGCCACTAGGACGCAATAGCTTACTGAGTGTTAGAGAATGTGAGAAAAACTACTATTAAGGACAGGGGACAATAAAAGAACAAGAATTAAGCAGACAGAAGATAACGATTGACATTACATTTAAATTTCTGAAGATCAAAGTTGTCACGGGAGCAAGAAGCCGGAAGAGAGTTCCACAAGTGGGAAGTGCGAGAGAAGAAACTGTTAACAATAAACTTATGGATACATCTATCCATTTCAACTGTAAAATGATGACGCCAATCTAGTATTGCACTTTAATAAAACTTGGTAAACATAAGCCAATATGACGCTTTAGTGATTACCCTGATTTCTATTTCCTTCAACGTTAACCCAAATGACGTTTTCTGATTGGTCCAAAATGTTTTTTTGTGGTTTACCGCCAAATTCTGATTGCTATTCCATATTTACTTCGTTCTTAAGCTATGCTCTTTTCTCAAGCGTTCTTTGTTTACTGTCGTAGCCAATTTGCTCAGCGACAAAAAATAGAAAAGGGAGTCTATACACAAAATATCATAACAATCTCCTTACGGTTTAATAGTAAGCAACCTTAGTACGGTAAGAGTAATGTACAGTTCATAAATTACCGTATTTCCCGTATGCTAAGACGCATTTTTCATGAAAAATGCCCTAAAAATCACTCTTCGTCTTATCACTGAAAGGTCAAGTTGTAGAGAAAGCCTCAGGAATACCAGTCACGAGATAACAGTGTAACCCGGATATAAGAGACCCGGATATAAGAGAAACCCGGATATAAGAGAGATTTTCTCTGGTCCCAAATTATTCCCATACTTACCTAAACAAAATAGACCAAACCCGGATATAAGAGAAACCCGGATATAAGAGAATTCTTCTCCGGTCCCGACAACTCTCTTATATCCGGGTTACACTGTACAAACAATTACGAACCTCAGACATATAATATAAGCCTACAATTACAATTCCTATGTCATAAATACTGTATATCCCGTTAGTATCATATTACGTTTTTAGAGTATTGATAACTAGTAGACAGTTTTCTACTGGGTTGTAAGTCTTTCATTCATCTAGGCATGACGTACTGTACTTTTATAAACCCTAACCCCAGCCAAGTAGAGTGGGCTATGATATGTTTTTAGCCACTCTTGATTATAGGCAATTTTGGCTTGTGTAATAACGTCTCTTCCTTTTTTTTCAGTCAATACCGTGTTAGTATCAAGCTACTCAAATCTATGAACAATAATTGACTTATATTTTACAATGAAAGTAAGGAAGTTGGTGAATTTCAACAAGGGCAAATAATAGGATGGCATCAGCGTGGCAAGTCAAACAGAGAAATTGCTAGGTTTTTCCAGGTTAATCATCAAACGGTTAATAATATTGTCAAGAAATTTAATGAAGAAGGCCATTGTCATGTGGAACAATGTTCAGGAAGACCAAGCATCGTGTCTGAACGAATGAAAATGCGCTGAAAAGAGAAGTCATTAGAAACCATAGTCAGAGTGTCAAAGATGTCACCAACAGCATGGAAATGTCATCCATATGCTGCCAGAAAGACTCTGAAAGAGCTAGGTTATCAAAGAAGAGTTGCAAGAAAGAAGCCCTTGATTTCAGAGGTTAACAGGAACAGGCGTATGGACAGGGCGAGAGAATTCCTGAGCAAAGATTAGGAATTTTGGCAGTCTGTAATTTGGTCAGATGAAAGTAAATTCTGCCAATATTCGAATTCGAGACAGGTTTATGTTTGGAGAAATCAGAATGAAACTTGAAACACTGAATGTGTGCAGGCGACCATGGTACATGAAGGGATTGGAGTAATGGTGTGAGGTGCTGTCTGGTTTGGAGGGAAATCTGAGCTGATTCTTGTTGATGAGTGGTTTAATGGTCCAAAATACTGACAAATATTAGAGAAAGGACTACTCTCACTATTTAAAACAAATCAGATTGACAAGAATGTCTACTTTTTTGAAGAAGATGGAGCGCCATGTCATATGAGCAAAGTAACAAAGACCTGGAAGGAATCGCAAGGGATCAAGTCACTGCCATGGGTAGCCCAAAGTCCTGACATGAATCCAATAGAGAACATTTGGGAGCATCTTGACCGAAAACATTAAGAGCATGCAACCAGAATCACGTCAGTGGCAACCCTTAAAGAAACATTGCTGAAGGAGTGACAAAATATGGATCAGACGATTGTTGATAACTTGATGATCAAATCAATGAAAAATCAAATACAAACACTGAAACTAGCAAATAGAGAACCTATTCCATACTAGTTCCAAATACTGTTTATGTTGAGTTGGGATCATGTAATTAAATTTTGAAATTGGATGTAGTTTATTTCTCCTGGCTAAAAATTTTTCTTAAGCCACTGTATTACAGACTGACAGTTACGTTTCATATGTATTCCAAGAATACTAGCGTTGTTGCTGCAATTTGTGTACTATTGAAACAAAACAGTTAGCTTAATAAGCCTAGCATTAATTCCAAATGTACTGTTAATTTCCAGTGCCTACTATCTGCCATGTTTCTTTATAGGGATGTTGCCTCAGCAATGCCATCGGTAGGTTGACAAGTCAACTACCGTCATAGACGACGTTACCAATCGTGTCGGCTGTCATTTAACATGAGGATTGAAATATCAGCTGCGAGTATGGACATAAACCCGCCGCGTGTTGAGACACCTTGTGGCTTGCGGTGGCAAGTACGAGTTGTTCCTGATGTGAATAGGTATAACATTGTGCTGAACTATTGAAAATCTAATTAATAATAAACACAAATATTTGATAATAGGCCCCAAATACGGTAATTTGTTGTGTCAAAAAGAAAATTAACCCTGCATAGTCGACGACTTGGACTTGTTAGTATTAATACGTTAAGCTATTAAATCCTCAAATATTTTTCAAAAAATACCTAGTTAATAACAGGGTACGTCTTAGCACAAGGGAAATACGGTACCTTTTATATCTAATTACTTTTTTGTGGCCGCATGGTTATAATGTTAGTATTCCAACCATGTGACCATAGCCGATATTGATAATAATGGCCTGTCCAATATTATCAATACTGTTCTGCATGTACATCCCAACACGTGCATGTACATGAAAAACATACCACGAGTTGACCTTTTGAATGAACTGGGTAGATATATAGAGAGAGCTAGTCAGGTATTCTACCTCACAGCGACCCTAAAACCACACACGGTCATTGGAGGAATGATAATGAATAATGCATTAGATATTTATAGCTTGCCAATAACTTCTGTTACGTCTTGTCTAAAATTAGTAAAGATATTGATATAAATATCTGACTGGAGTTCGAATCTCAGTCGAATCCATTACATTCACTTACGTGCTAATACCCTTAGGAAAGGTATGAATCCTCTTCTTCTCCCCACAGCTATGGGTAAATAGCAGGACAGACCGGGTTCTATAGCCTTGGATGGCAACTGGTCTACCGCAGAAAGACATCGCAACCAACTGCAGGAAAAAATCTGCCTCGTCAGTCATGTATCGAAAGACACACGATCGTCTGAGTGTGTATCACGCAAGGCACATAACTGGAGATTCGATTTTAAAAATAGTATTTTAATTTGTTGCCTTGACCCAGTAGTTCCCAAACGGTGCGTCGTGCCTCACAGAAGCGGCGGGAAAGGATAGCAGGTGAGGCGGAACAGGATAGCAGGTGAGGCGGAACAGGATAGCAGGTGAGGCGGAATGATTGAAAGACAATCAAAGACTTAGAAACAGTTTTTAAAAATTCATATTCCAAAAATAAATACGATTTCAAAATTTTAAATATTATTATGGATTATTTGTAATTACATGCATGAGTCCCAGTATAAATAGTTATAAATAATTATTGACTGATTGTGATATTTTTGCATTTTATCAAGTATTAAAAATATAGTAATTAGGGTCCGGAAATTGGAGGAGAGAGTTATCAATGATAATGTTCTAACTTCGAATCTGCGGTTATCTCCCTTTAAACCTCTCTCTGCATCTTCTTTGCCGTAGAGCTGCTTGCGCCTTTTCATTGGGACTTCCCTTCCCCTGAGCCTGTGTCTTCGTGTAGGTACACATAAAATTTGGTGAGGCGCGAGAAAATTTTAATTCCGAAAATGAGACCCAGAGGGAAAAAATGGTAACCACTGCCTTAACTGGGTGAGAAGCAAAGGATTTAAATGAACGTTCGGGGAAAAGAAATTATCTCATAGCTTCTTAATTCATAGGGCGCCTGGCTTTAGAAGTACGGACAGTAATCTCTGATCAGGTGAACTAATTTTGCAATCATTAGCACAATCTTGACTGGGTGCTTTTCAGATTACACTAATCTTTGAATAAAGCAAATATATATTTAGGGCTTACGATCATATCCCGTTGAAACACCGGTTCTCGTAAGATCACCGAAGTTAAGCAACGTCGAGCCTGATCAGTACCTAGATGGGTAACCACTTCAAAATACCAGGTGCTGTAAGCATTGGCTGCGGGTGGTCTAAAGGCCTTACGGGCATATTAGGTTTTACGCCGGTGTCCGCACGATCACGGAAATTAAGCAACGTCGATCCTTATCATTATCTAGATGGGTGACCACTTGTGAATACTAGGTGCTGTAAGCTTGGATGTGCGGTTGGTGTAATGTATAAGGGGGCTCAGGATTGTTAATCGGAGAGCTAAGTTCCAATTCCAATCGGGTTCGTTATATTCCATTACGCGCAAATACCCTTGGGAAAGGTATGAATTCAATTCTTCCCCCCCAACTATGTGTTAATCATTAGGACTGGTATCACTAAGTCATAATCATCTTCCCTAAAAAATTATACAATCTAAAAATAATTTCTGGATTTAAATAACCTGCAAAGTGTTAATAAGATGAAGTACCAAAAAGGAAAACTCATAGAAATAACTGCCACGAAAATATTTATAAAAATGGCACAGGGAAGTTACGTTATGACGGCGGGAAAATGGTTGAAGTCGAGACGCTAGTACCAATAAAACTGCAGATCCTTCTTTGGATTTTATCAAGAATTTCTAGATACATAGCAGAATCAAAAAACAAAAAAAAAACAAATCTATCATTACATAGTTGTATGTTGCAACCAGATGTCGTTCCATGATTTCTAACTTTCTTTCTGCTTTCTCATTAAAAAAAAAAAAAAAAACTCATTTTTTAACACGCCTAAAGTCTCGTCCTAATTAGAGAACGTCTTCTATCGTTATTAGAGAACTGACGTAACACTGACTCCATAGCGAAAACATATCAGCAGAAATATTGTTGTACAAACCAACAACATTGAAGCTAGTTTAAAAAAAAAACTGAGGAAAAGTTACTGAGTAGAAAGGTCAATAAAAAGAACAGGTTTCAAGGAGACAGAGGATAACGATTGCCGTCGAATTTAAATTTTTGACTATCAAAGTTGAGAGGAAAGCAAAAAGATGGAAAAGAGTTCCACAAGCGAAAAGATTTTTTTACACTGAGGTTTAACCTTTACAAGGCCCTTGAGATAGAGAGTTACGTTAGGAGTCCATTTGTACGTTTAGAAGTGAATGATAACAGTTAACAGGGAATGTGGATGGTTTTCTATTATATAAGTGTCATGGCGTGTTCTTGCCGTGAAGGTTTGCCTTGGCGAGACAAGGGAATGTAGTTCGTCCAAACACTTTCCATGGAAGTTGTGGTAGAGCAACGAGAGGCTTGCCGCATCCCGCCTGTGGAGGGTGGAGAATAATTCGTCACCCACAAGGGCTCGGAGATGCTTTTGGACTCACCGATGGAGAGTGAGGTCTGGGCAGCTCCCGCCCAAATACTGCACTACTACTGTACTGATGCGGCATTCACCCTGGGCGGATTGAGCCGGCTTCTTCCTGTTATGAGAAGAAGATTCTTGGGATAAATTACAGAAGTAGGGTACCCAGGCCTACTCGGATAACGTTCTTGCTTGCCGCGGGGTTCCCACAGACGCAGAGACAGGAACGACCAGAAGCCGCCGGTTACCGATGCAGACGCTCCTTGGATTTTCACCAGAGCCCTTGTTAGCCGGCGTGTGTGTCAGACCTGTCCGCCTTGGGTGGCCCTACCAGGAACGAAGTTCCGGGCGGCATAGCTCTGACACTACCGTTTACACCCCCACCGACTGTGAGGTAAGGGTTGGACTTTGGACCCGCCCAAATATGATAACAGTACTCCATTTTGGCCTGATCTGGCTCTAGTAAAGGTAGAGGATAACAGGAGAAGTCAGGTACTTACTGGAGCGGCACAGTGAGCCGACCATTTTACCCGCATTCTTAGAATTGGATCGTATGTACAAGTTCCACTTGAGGTCGGGTGTGAGTTTTAAGCTCAGTAGTCTTTCAAGGCACAGTGCTTCCCCGAGAGGACATCCGTTCATCTTGATTGATGGTACTTTGAGATCGGCGATGACGGAATGTGGCTAGTTTTGTCCTGAAGACATTGAATGTAAGCAGCCATTTTTTTACCCCATTGGGTAGTTTATACAAGATTGGAAGAGAGGGCGAGAGAAGAACCTATAAGCATAGAACTTACGGTTACATTTAACAATTTGAACCTTAAATGATGATAACTCACTGCCAATTTCATCAATAAAGTGCCGTACGTGATACACGCTTGGGCGATCATGTCTCTTTCGATCGATGACTGACTTCTCAGAAGATTTTCACGCAGTAGGTGATCGTTTCTTTCTGCTGTAGACTGGTTGACAACCAAGGCTATGAGATCAAGTCTGTTCTGCTATTCAGTTCATAACACGGAAGAGAAGAGATGGACTCGTACCTTCCCTAAGTGTATTTGTGCGTAAGTGAATGTAACGAACCCAACTGGAATTCGAACTTGGATCAGCGATTTCTCATTCCGATCAGATATCCATTACTCCACAAAAGGGGAGCTTATCAGAACAATTGCCAAAAAACATGTTTATAGAACTGGCACAGGGAAGCTACGTTATGGCGGTGGGAAAGTGTTTGGGGCCGATATCTCGGGTCAGGGCCGATATGACTGTGGATCCATTTTTGGAATTTATCAAGAATCTCTCTATATATAAGCAGAAGCACCGGACCAATGTAGCAACAATATTCAATGCTCTGACGATGGTAAATTTATAAATGTGTAACATAGATTTCTGGTGGAAAAAATGAACAGTGAGCCAACATTCCTAGCAATAGACCTAGCAATTGATTCAATATAAACTTTCCGCTAAATGTTTCGTTCTCTAATGTTCAGCTCTATTCTGCAAAAATGGTCGGTTCTTCGTACCCCTTATTCAGTAACCCTCTACCGTGAATGATTCTTGGGCCGTGTATGGGGTGAACAATGCTATAAAAATATTCTAAAATGTAAATATTTTACAGCATTATTCACTCAATACACGGCACAAGAACCACTCAAGGTAGAGGGTTTCTGAATTAAATCGTTTTATGGACGTAAGAATTGTACATTTTGAGGGTATGCAGGATAGATAATGGCTGAACATGGGTTGAAGAGGTTAAAATTTTACCAGTTTACGATGTTCTGCATAAAACCATGAACACAAAAGCCATTATACGAATATGTGTCGTATTACTACGATAAGGAAAAAAATGAACAGAAAATGAACACGAACTAGAACTGTCTACCCCAGCGAGCGAAATAAAAGGTTCACTTCGACATTTCAACCACCTGAAGAAGGCCGGAGCGTACAACAGCCGAAATGTTGTGATAAATATGACAACAAAGATGAGGATGAGAGTCCGAACAATGTAAATAGTGTACATAATATCTCATCTCAGAGATATAGACAGATACAAAAGCCCTTATACGACTATATGTGTTATTAATACGATAAGGTAAAAAAAAAAACAAAATGAGCACAAAAAGAACAGAAAAAATGAACACAATAGGATGATGTGTTTTATTATTACGACAAGAAAAAACATGAACTGAAAATGAAAACAGAAAAAATGAACACAAAAGCCCTTATACGACTATGTGTGTTATTATTACGATAAGGTCAAACAAGAACCAAAATGAACTCAAAAGAACATAAAATAACATAGAAAAAAATGAACACAAAAGCCTTATAGGATGATGTGTTTTATTATTACGATAAAGAAAAATAATGAACACAAAATGAAAACAGAAAAAATTAACACAAATCCCCTGTACGACTATGTGTACTTACTATTATTACGATAAGGTCATAATACCCAAAATGAACATAAAATAAACAACATGAACACAAAATGAACAGAAAAAATTAACACAAAAGCCCTTGTTATGTGTTATTATTACGATAAGGTCATAATACCTAAAATGAACACAAAGTGAACACGGAAAAAAATTAACACAAATCGACTTATACGAATATGTGTCTTATTATTACGATAAGGAAATAAAAGAACCCAAAATGAACACAGGAAACTACAAAACTCCTTGTATGAAGACATACCTTATTATTACGATAGGGAACAGCCAGCTCAATATGCAAATTACAAATTATGAGGTACCAAGCAATCAAGCAACTACAACAACTTAAATATCTGGGAAATGTTTTATCAAAGGACGAAAAGTTAGACACTGGAATCCAAAGGCGAATCGGGATAGCGATAGAAGCCTTCCAAAAGCTAAGCAATGTATAAAGTAACAGGAAAATTTCATTGGAAACAAAGAAAAGAGTACTGAACTGTTGCGTAATATTCCTTCAATATGGTAGTGAGTGCTCACTGATGAAGAAGCGACTCAAAGCAACAGAAATGTGGTTCTACAAAAGGATGCTGAGAATATCATGGACTGAAGAACGTGTGAGCAACGACGAAAATGGAAACAAAAAGGACACTTATACTTTTAGGTTCATTCATAGGGTACATAATAAAGAAAGAGGGCTTGGAAAAATTGATACTCACAGGACATATTGAAAGCAAGAGAATCAGAGGAAAACAACGCATGGTCTACCTAGCGTGTTCGAATAAATGGATGGTTTAACACAATTTAGGAGAGATAACAAAGGGGCAAAATTTATTAAGCGCTACAAAAGAACAGGAAATTGTGAAGAGCCATGATCATCAACGTCCTGTTGGGACACGGAACATAGAAAAAGAATATAATAAATTTCGCCCCTATTGAGATTCGTTACAATAAAATTTACTAATAGATATTGGATAGGAGTAATGGATAGCGGCTCGGATTGAGGAATCGGAGAGCCGAGTTCGAATTCCAGTCGAATCCATTACATTCACTTTCGTGCTAATACCCTTGGGAAAGATATGAATCTTCGTCTTCTCCCCACAGCTATGGGTAAATAGCAGGACAGACCGGGTTCTATAGCCTTGGATGGCAACTGGTCTTCCGCAGAAAGAAATGACAACCGACTGCAGGAAAAAAAATCTGCCTCGTCAGTCATGTATCGAAAGATACATAATCGCCTAAGCGTGTATCACGCACGGCACATAACTGACTGATGTGCTAATACCCTTGGGAAAGGTATGAATCCTCTTCTTCTTTCCCCCAGCTATGGGTAAATAGCAGGACAGGCCGGGTTCTATAGCCTTGGATGGCAACTGGTCTACCGCAGAAAGAAATGACAACCGAATGCGAGAAAAAAATCTGCCTCGTCAGTCATGTAATCGAAATCATGTATCATGATCGCCTAAGCCTGTATCATGAATGGCACATATCTGACTGAATAGATATTGAACTGATTAAGTTAAATACCACAAAATAGTGATTGCTAAGGGATCTGGTATAGTGTTGTAAAATATTCAATACCTATAAGTTTTTGTAAGCTGATATTATATAGTGTAGCGGCTAGCGGCTCGGAAAGCGCATCCGGCGATCCGAGTTCGAATTCCGGTTGTATTCGTTATATTCACTTTCGCATAAATAAGCTTAGGAAAGGCATGAATCCATCTTTTCTTCATTCAGTTATGGGTTAAATAACTGAGGCTCCCCTGCTGCGAGAACGAACAACTCTGTGGTATGCGCTCCATTTAGCTACCTTGCCTTAGAAATACCACTGCTGCTATAGCTGCAGAACGTGTAGTGTCCCTACGACCTTAATGAACTACGGTACTCTGACTCTGGTACGGTGACATTATATATCCAAACAGCGCTGTCCGAAGAAAGTGGTATCAGAGAGCCATTTTCAAATTCTGGTCTCGTCTACCGCGTTAAGTTTTCCACTAATACCATTGGCATGAATCCATTTTCTCCTCACCATAGACTGGTTAAATAGAAGGGGATATATATATATATATATCCCTGGATGGTGGCTAGTCTAAGAGAAACACAACTCTGATTTTAAAACCATGGAGAAGCATGCATCCTTCACTACGTCCCCCATTTATCTCAAGAATAAGTAGATCGTCGATGTATCATACCCCCCACACACACACTGAATATTTGCATATTTTCTAAGGAAATGTGAATATTTGCAAATACTGAATTTGTCATCCAGTATACAACACGTACCGTCTTTTACTTAATTTGACATAGTCTGACATAAGATAGATAGATAGATAGATAGATAGATAGATAGATAGATAGATAGATAGATAGATAGATATAGGTAACTGCACTCGTCTCGGAAAACTTTCAGTTTCTTGATTTTCTAATGGTCAAATCAATTTCGAAGGAAAAAAAAGTTTTTAAAAGCAGAAAGAGCTAGGAACATGAACGTCTGTCGAAAATAATCGTATAGCATACAGGTCCAAAGCCCAAAGAAAAAAAACCGATACGAGTAATCGACTAACTAAAAAAAGTGCTCAATACAAAAGTAGAGCAGACCTAGTCAAACCTAGAGAGCCAAACAAACCTACCAAGGTTTCACCTGGCAGCTTTCCCTGATGATCCGCTTAGGTGAAACCTTGGTAGGTTTGTCTGGCTCTCTAGGTTTGACTAGATAGATAGATAGATAGATAGATAGATAGATAGATAGATAGATAGATAGATAGATAGAAAGAGAATGAGATAGACAGATAGGAAGAGAATGAGATAGATAGATAGATAGATAGATAGATAGATAGATAGATAGATAGATAGATAGATAGATAATAATGATCATGTCAAAATACCATTGTAAGACCTATGGCTGCTTCAAAAGGATTCGGCTTCATACATACTTACATAAAAATAGCATGTGAACAGAACTAGATAGATAAAAAAATTATATGTATGGACAGACTTAGATAGATAGATAGATAGATAGATAGATAGATAGATAGATAGATAATGAACAGACTGTGATAGATAGATAGATAGATAGATAGATAGATAGATAGATAGATAGATATGAACGAGTACATATTGATATGAAAATAGGCAAACTACTTCTCTATTTTTCCATATGGCATTTCACAGAAAAAAAAGAAAAGTCGTGGAAAGTCATTATCGTCCATGTTCTCAATAGATATATCATTTTTTTTAAATTATCCAAAAATCTTATTCGCGCGCCACGCGTTTTTATGTTATAACTTTAACATTGAAATAATACTTCTTTTCTATCTACTAGCTAAATGATTGTAAAATCATTAGTAACTATATCTTATAACTATGAGATCCTGTGAAAGAAAACCCAAAAGAAGCACAGATATGCCTTCCTTTTTGTGTGTCATTCTAGCTATGTTCATAAATTCTATAAAAAAAAAATGTTGGACTTACCTGCATGGATATATTTGATGTATGTCTGATGTCTCAATTTCGTTACGTTCAACTGCTTCGATTTCTAACTTTCCTGTCTAATCCGTGCAGAATCCTTTTTAAGAAAAAAAAATTTGAACAAGGACGTTTTGTCAACCTTCCCGCCACTTTTGACGTTACTATTTCCCGGCAGATCTTCAAAAGAAAGATGCGACAAGAGTTCGAAGAGTGAAGAAGAAGAAGAAGAAAAAAATGAAATTAAGTATAAAGGCGTGTCCTTTTCAACATTAATATGACAACTAAATGTTGTGGCTGTATTTTCTTGATGACAATCTTCAATGATGGATTACACGCGCAGCTTACCCGACATGACGTGACACCTAACTCAGGATACACGTTCATTCGAGATGAACGAATTTAACGGCTGACCACCGGCACGTAGATATCTCTCCTTAAAAGGCACAGTAGATTTTGAAAATGTGTGAACTCTTCCTTTCCGCCGCCTCAATAAATATTAAAAATAGTCATTCTAAACGAATTCTGAAAGTTAAAATACTCTAATTGCTGCTTGTTTAAACAAAGCCGTTCATTTTATTGTCAAAAAACTTTATCCTGCCTCATAATTTTTAACTAAATCAAGAACTTTAGTGCATGAACTACCACGCCTCGCAATTGTATAGTTAATTTATAGTTTTGACGAAGTTATAGAGATGGTGACTCTAGTATTAACAATGAACGCAATCTTATGATATATGATTGGCAGATGACACTGTGTTAATGGCGGACACAGAAGGAAAACTGCAGGACCCCCGAAATAAAGTATTAAAGAAAAATGGAAAGAAAGAACAAACCGTCAACTTTAAGATGGTTGTTACCAAGAGAAAAAAAAAATAAGGTCTAAGATGCGAAATACGAATTGGAGATGTCGGCATCAAAAAAAGTGCAGGAGTTTAAATATCTAGGAGGTGTATTAACAGAGCACGAAAAATATGACACCGAAATCCGAACGCTGATTGAAATAGCAAAAGATGCCTTCCAAACTCTAAGCAAATTATTAAGAAACAGGGAATTTCCGCTAGAAACAAAGAAAAGAGTGTTGAACTGTTATGTAATAATTTCTATTTCGAATAAAGAGACTTGAGGCAACCGAAACATTAGTTCTACAGAAGGATGCTGAGAATACCATGGGCGGAGAGCGTAAGCAATAAAGAAGTTTTAAGGAAAATGGAAACAAAAAGCATACATACCGAGAATCAATAAATGAAATCTGAAATTTCTTTAAAATCTTTTCCTTGCTTCATATATTTTAAACTAAATTAAAAAATGTCAATAAGAAAAAATTACCACGTCTCATAATTATATTCTTTATTATGAGTTTTAACAAGGTTGTCCTAAGGGAGACAGCGACTCTACAAATATTTATTATCGGGGGACGCAATCTTAGTAATATAAAATACGCAGATGACACACTCTTAATGGCGAACGCCGAAGGTAAACAACAGGAACTCCGAAACAAGTTAGTAAAGAAAAGCGAGAAGAAAGGCCTAACCATCAATTGTAATAAGGAGTAGATAGATTCACCTATCGTCCTGTTCACACTCCTCCTCGGTCTTTTAAAAACTGAGTAGAGGCTTATCCTTTGTTTGCCGTTTAAGATTGGATTTCCGGATCCTTCTATAGTCTATTTCAACTCTATACTTCTAACGTCTCAGCCTAAACTTTGATTTTTTTTTTTCACTATTTATTTACTTTTTTTTCCTCAATAGTATTACATAGGTTCGACAATTGCCCGGTTCACACACCTCCCCGTTCTTTTGGCAAGAGTAAAGGTTTATCCATTGTTTCATGTTTAGGATTGATTTTCCGATCTTTTTTTTTTTTTTTTTTTTTTTACAGTAACGTTCACCGTGTACAAGACCCGGTGGCCACTCGAGGTAAAGGGTTACGATAAGGGGTAGTTTATATGGATAGGAGAGGAAGATAATATTTAATTAGACTTGAACAGGTTAAGATTGAAGTGATCGGGGAAACATCCTTCAGGGAGTCTATTCTACAGGGCAGTAACTCGCGGGAAGAAGCTGTTCGAGTGGAATTTGCTTCTCGCCGATGTAATACGGAGGGAATGTGGGTGGTTTTCTACTACGTAAGGGCCATGGCGAGTCCTAGCCGTGAAGGTCAGACCTGGATGCAGTTCCTCCAAGCACTTTGCATGGTAGTAGCGATAGAGCAATAAGAGACTCGCCACATCCCGCCTGTGAGAGAGAGAGGTTGGAGTGTGGAAAAGAATTCTTCTCCCACAAGGATCGGAGACGGATTTGAACTTTATCAGGACTTGAAAGTGAGGACTGCGCAGCTCCTGCCAAAATATGCCAACAGTACTCCATTTTCAGTCTGATCTGGCCCATATAAAGGTAGAGAATAGCATAAGAAGTCAGGTATTTACTGGAGCAGTACATTGAGCCGAACATTTTACACGCATTTTTAGCAATGGCTAGTATATAGGAATTCCACTTGAGGTCGTGTGAGTTTGAAGCCCAGTATCCTCTCAAGACACAGGGATTCCTCGAGGGGACATCCTGACTGGCGGTAGCTTGGAGTCTCTTTCACAATGTTTGATCCCAGTTCGAGAGTTAACTATTAGTCCATAACTGGGACCCTAACAGTTGCTACCACTAATTGCTTAGTGGCATTGCCCCACTTACATAAGAAGGACAATCCACTTCCAACTTTGGGCTTCATATTCTCTCAAGCCACGGCGCTTCCTCGAGGGGACATTCGTTCATCGTAGTTCGGGGTCTGTTCGGCGGTGATAGAATGTAACCACTTTTGTTTTAGAGTCATTGAATATAACCAGCCAGTTTCTTTCCTCCACTTGGAAGTTAATGTTAAATCGGACGAGAGGTCAGCTGCCAATCTCTGATCAAGAGTTTTAGAGGTACACTCGTACAACATCGTATCATCGCCATAGACGTTTACAAATGATCGGAGTATATTCTTAGGTAGATCATTTATGAAAGAGAATTGGTCCGAGAAGTGAGCCCTTGGACACGCCTGCGTTAACCGCCAGAGCCTCAGAGCACTAGACGTTAATAACTACTTCAACTCTGTACTGCTAACGTCTCCGCATAAACTCCGAATTTTTTTCATATTTATTTACTTTTTTTCTCAATAGGAGTATATAGGTTCGACTATCGACCGGTTCACACTCCTTCCCATTTTTTAACATGAGTAGAGATTTACCACTTCACACTACTCCCCGGTCTTCTGAACACGAGCAATGATTTATCCATTGTTTCCTATTTAGGATTTGGTTCCCCGCTTCCTTCTAAAGTCTTCAACTCTATACTTCTAATGTCCCCGCCTAAAATTTGAATTTCTTTACCATTTTTTTAAGCATTTCACTCCAAGCAAGGCAGGAGTGCCACTAGCACGCAAGGGGTTACAGAGAGTGAAAGTAAGGAAAAAAAGGGGCTGTTTGAGGAAAGGATAAAGAGAAGGACGGGGATCAAGATCAAGGCATCAGAAGATGTCGATTGCCATTACATTTAAATTTTTGAAGACTATAATTATCAGGGAAGCAAGTAAAAGAAATGGAGTTCCACTGTCAAGAAGTGCGAGAGAAGAAGCTTTTGGAGTAGAAGAGGTGGTTACATTTAACTGTTTCGACATTAAAAGGGTGGGACCGAGATGCCAACCTAGTAGCACGCTTAAATTCATGCAGTTGAGGCACCAATGAAAATAGCTCGTCACAGCAGTTGCCATGAAAATATTTGTAAAAAAGACTGAGGGGAGTCGCATCACCTCTGTGAGAAAATGACTGGAGTAGAGATGCCAGGTCAGGACCTATAACATTGCATAACCGTCTTGGGATTTTGTCGAGAACCCCGAAATGAACGGCGGGGGCAAAAGACCATATATGGCAACAGTATTCAATGCAAAGAAGAATGGTAGATTTGTAGATTTGAAGGACGGATTTATTTACTTTTTTTCTCAATAGGAGTAGATAGATTTGTCTATCGTCCTGTTCACACTCCTCCCTGATTTTTTTTTTAACAGGGGTAAAAATGTATCACTTCACACTCCTCCCTGGTCTTTTCAACAGAAGTAAAGGTTTATCCATTGTTTCCTGTTTAGGATTGGCTTTCCGCTTCCTTCTAAAGTCTTTTTCATTCTCTTTCACTCTCAGTAACCGCTCTGCGTCTTAGTGGTATTATCGCCTTGCATGGGGTGAATTGATTAAATGAACAGAAGACAGGAAGTATGGCTGTTAGCAAGAGAAAAACGCCCAAGACGCGAATTACCAATTGGAGGTATCAACATAAAAAAAAGTTCAGAAGTTTAAATATCTTGGAAGTGCATTAGAAGCCGGGAGGCAGGTGGAGTAATGCAGAGCGGAGCAGATCAGATCGGATCGGATCGGATTGG